GCCTCCGCCGGCGGAAGCCGGCGGAAGGTGGGCGTCAGGCGGCGGAAGTAAAACGTGCGCCCCCAAGAGATGAACACGTTGCTTGGTGCAGGATGTTCGAAGTCGCCCATCTATCATTACGTCGGGCCTGTCCCTCTACAGGAGGAATCTTCAAAAACAGTTCAAGAAATAGTCGGGGTACGAGGGCTTGAATATCTTGTGGCCATGTGTTTGTTCGTCCAGAATCCGCCCGTTGGGGGACAGGCCCGACCTAAGTCTATCGCGGCATCTTGCGGAGGGAACTTGGCCGGGGAGGACATCACTCAGGAGGGGAAAAAAAAAACAGACACAATTAATCATCGATTCACCGAAATTATGGGAAAATATGGGAAGTGTGGGGGAAGACAAAAGCCCAGAAAATATAGGAAAATATGTGTATCCCTGTTATTTGTGTCTATTTATTTGTGTGCCCCAGGGCCCCTTCACTTACGGAGGAAACTTGGGACGGGAGGGAATCTCGGGCTGGCTGAAAGGATCTCGCGGCCGAGGCGGCACGCTGTCTATCAGTCAGGGCACCTCTTCCCGCCACCTGTCTTTGTACGGGCCCTCCTCGCACCCCGAGGACCAGGAGGAACAAAAAGCACAGACACAATTAATCGTCGACTCCCTGGAAAATATAGGAAAATATGGGAAGTGGGGGGAAGACAAAAATCCAGAAAATATTGGAAAATATTGTGAATCTGATTATTTGTGTATTTCTTTGTGTATTTATTTGTGTGTCCCAGGGCCCCTTCAGAGGACCCCATACCCTGAGTGTAAGTCGGTCATGTCCCTCTACATGAGGAATATTCAAATATAGCCGAACAATCATATGGGAAATAAGTTTTTTACTTCTGTTTTTCCGGAGTTTGTTCGGTGTTTGTTATAGCATTCGTTCAAAATCCGCCTGTAGGGGGACACGCACGACCTATCCCGAAGTTTTCCTTTCGGGATGTTTCAATCTACTTAATTGGCGCACTTGTAGACGCTACTGAAGGCTGCTGAGGAGCTAAAGATCACTGAAGGCTGCCCAAAGGCGACTAGGGGCCACTCAATGCCGCGAGTAAACACACTAAAGGCTGCTAAAGGCAAGTGAAGGCTACTAAACCGGACGGAATCTGCCAGCACATGCTTCCACAAGTCCCCACGATATTGACAGCAGGCTCTCTATTTCCCATGTCTTTCCACACAAACATTTTGTGGCGATCGGGGGACGGGGTATTTCTGTTATTGGCGGTCGCGGGGCTAGAGGTGGGACTGTGATGACGGTACTGGCATCGCCAGCCCCGTCCCAGCTTGGAGGTCAGGGTGAGTCAGTCGCCCGATCCATGCCGTGACCATTCGGCCAGGACGTTGCGCCGTCCATTGGCAGTCCCACACAATCCATATTTTGCGTTGTTCCTCATGTTGCGACCGTTACTTCCTCCACAACTACCTCACCTTGTTGTCACATGCATCCCCCGAGCACGAGCGCAGTCACGCCACGTCGAAGACGAGGCCCGGCACTGGCCAGTCTGCGCATTGCCGCTTGGGACGTGGAGTGAGGATACGGAGTGCTGCGGAGGCCATGCTTGCCCTCGGCAGGGGCTGGCCGCCGGGCCCCCTTCTCTGGACTACCTGATAGCGCCGACCAGCGCCGACACCAGGAGTTTACCAGCCTCGAACGTATCCCTATCCCTAAGATTGACACGCCAAAAGGCGATGACAATCTTAGGGATCCGCCCTCAAAAAATAAGGGAATCCCTAAGATTGGCATCGTGATGAGGAGGTGCCCAGTATAGGGATAGGGATCTGTTCGAGGCTGGTAAGGAGTGTCAAGTCAGTCTCGCAGTCAATTCAGGAGTGCCGAACAGCTGTGGCACAGAGAACCGCTACCCACTGACAGTCTACAGCCGTTTTTGTGACAGTCCTGCTCTGACTGCGCCAGCCGACAGCAGTTTGCAACTCGGTGCGTTTTTTTCTGCCACCACACAGCCGCAGCAACCTAACGCCTTCGACCAACCCGCTGCATTTTACCTCGAATGGGTGACTGGGGCTTGTGCTGAGCAGCGGAGTGGAGGAATGGTGGTGCCGGGGTGGAGGATGACGACGTCAGGCTCTGTTTGGTTTTGGCGGAGGGGCGTCTGCCCTATTGTGGGCGCCCGTACGTTTGTTACACCTCTCACCTCACACCTCGCTGAGCGCTTTGTGGCCTCCGAGTTGAGCCAACATACCAACCAGTACATTGCGCCAGCCGCCTGCGTCCTTTGTCAGCGCTGGACAGGCCAGCCAACACAATGAGGAGCCAGGCTACATTGAGGCCCACACCCAGGCGTGAACACTATTATGTCCGCGTCGCCTCATCACTTGCTGTCTTTCCACTTGCGGGCGGTGGCGGGATTCCTTGGGCGGGGATGGGTCGTGATCCATGCGGCACCGGCCTCCGTGCGAGCTGACAGGGGGAGATTGGCCGCGACCTGCCTCAGTCATCCTACCTGCGCTGCCGCATGCAGCAGTAGGTCGACTCTTACCCCTTCGGTGTCCTCCTGTCTGATCATGTGTTCAGTATGGTTTATATCCTCCCCCCTCCCCTGCACTGCTTCGCGCTAGGTTACTCTGTGCCAAGTCGGTCCCCCCATTCTTGCACAATTTCTCTTTGCATGTGTTCCTCTGCACCTGTCCGCGGCATCACTTGTTGCATATGTGCCTGAAACGTCGGATTTGTTGTGTAATCTTGCCACCGAGCGCTACGCGCTTGGCACTTGGAGCCCGCCCAACCCAAAAAGGAGGAGGACGCAGAGCAGGAGGAGGAGGAGCAGGAGGAGGTTGAGGGCGGCGGTGACGCGGGGGGGGAGGAGCAAGACCACTGTAAACACAAAACACCCCAACGAAGTTGCAATACACCCTCCCTCCAAGTCCCCAGTCCCTGCACGAATCATGTTCATTGCAGGAAGTGTCCAAGGGGAAGAGAACAGCCTGCGAATCTCCGTTCGTGCCAGGCGCCATTCCTAGGACGCCAGCGCCGCGAATCCACGTGAGTGTCGGGCCCTGGCAACTCGCAATCGTGACAGAACGCCACTCCTGGGACTCCAGCACCACGAAGCAACATGGCTGTTGCGCCCTCGCAGTCCTAAACCGTACCGGGAAGCCTTTTTTGTTTGGTTTCGACCATGCGGATCTCCGAAGGTGTTGCACGTTTCCAACGCGACTGTGCGCGGAGCTAAAACGAGAGCCACATTTTGAAAATGAGCCGCCCCCCCACAGTGAAATTCCTGCGAACGGTGAAGGCGAATGTGCGCGGCGCAAAGGCGAGAGCCGCATCTTGAGCCTGAATTGCCCTCCATTCGTGAAAATGTTGCGAACTATTAAGACGAATGCGTGCGGCGCTCAGGCGAGAACGACATTCTGAAACGGAGCCGCCTCCCATCCTCCCATCCGTGAATCTTGAAAGACGAAAGCATGCGGTGTCAGGCGAAAACACATGTTTCAACCGTCCCGCCCTCAATACGTGAAGTTGCTTCCAAATCTGAAAACTAATGTGTGAAGCGCTCAGGCGGGAGCCACATTTTGACAGCGACCCGCCCTCCATCTGGCAAGTTTATGTAAACCTTCGAAATGGAATTGCGCGGCGCTAAGGCGACAGCCACATTTTGAAACAGAACCTCCATCTTGGAAACTGTTGCGCAACTCAAACCCCATGATCATAAGTTGTGAGGAAGTCTCAGTCGAAACGCTTCGCCCGCCCTCCTGACACGTCTTGGGGTCCGACAGGGAGGAGTTACGGATTCGAACAAGTAAAGACGACGCCGAGGAGGAGAAGGAGGAAGAGGAGCAGGAGGACGAGGAGTAGGAGGGCGGTGATGACGAGGAGGAGGAGTGGGATGAGGAGGAGGAGGATGAGGAGGAGGAGGGGAATGAGGACGAGGAGGCGGGCCTATGACGAAGAGGATGGTGAGGGAGGCAAAGGAGGGTGGGAGGAACGAGGGAGGGAGGGAGGAACGGTGGAGGGAGGGAGGTGGGACGAGGGAGGAGGGATGGAGAGAGTGTGAGGAGGAGCAAGAGGATCAGCAGAAGCGGGGAGAAGGATGATGAGGGAGGAGGAGGAGGCGGACCACGAGCCCACTCCCCCTTCGGGCGTTGGATCATCCTCGAGGGACGTCGAGCGCGTCTGGAGGTCCCTTCAGGATGTTTTGGCTACCTATCGAAACTTGTGGAGGAACACCTCTGGAAATTGCCAACAGTCTTTGGACGCCACCGATGACATACGCAATATTCGACGACAACCTTCCAACATGTTGAGAACTTTCCCTTCCTCCTCGCCTCGCTTGCGTCTCCTCCCTCATCATCCCTTCCCCGACTGCTACGACGATGACGACGACGCCGTATGACGACGACGACGTAGGACGGCGACGTCGTCAGCGGACGTCGTCGTCGTCGTCGCACGCAATCGTCGTCTGACGTTATCAACGCACGGCGTCGACCGTTGTCGCCGTCGTGTTTGTTGTCGCTCGTCGTCGTCGTCGTCGGCGGTCGTCGTCGTCGTCGTCGTCGTCGTCGTCGTCGTCGTCGTCGGCGGACGTCGTCGCCATCGGGCTCTTACGCCCTCGTCGGACGTTGGGCGTCGTCGTCGTCCCATGAGGGGGCAGGCGGATCTAATTTGGACCCTTGCAATACCCGTAGAACGCCCCAGCTCCCTTTGGAGGAGGAGGAGGAGGAGGAGGAGGAGGAGAAGGAGCAGGAGGAGGAGGAGGAGGAGGAGGAGCAGGAGGTGGAGGAGGAGGAGGAGGAGGAGTAGGGGGGGGGAGGGGGAGGGGAGAGGAGGAGGAGGGAGGAGGAGGAGGATGAGGAGGAGGAGGAGGAGGAGGAGGAGGAGGAGGAGGAGGAGGAGGTGCTAGGCCTCGAGGACTGCCGGGACGGCCCGTCGCAGCGAGGGCCGCCGCTTCGGCGCCCGCCCGGCGGCACCCCACGGCGGACGGCCCCCCCGCGGGCGACGCCCGGCGCAGGCGCCCGCCGAGGAGGAGCCAGCGGCGGAGGGCGCCCAGCGGCGGCGGCCCGAGGCGCCCGCCGAGCCGGAGGACCGAAGAGTCTGACCTCGCCAAGGGGGGCGTGCCACCAATCTGGGCGCCCGAAGTGGGTACGTGAAACGAAAAGGGAACGAGATGGACGCCCGAAATGGGTACGTAGTCTGGACGCCCGAAATGGGTACCGAGGCGGAAAATAGGGGCATGAACAGTGACATCAACATCAAAAAACTCGGAGGTCCGCGCGGATTTCTCGGATCGGCGCTGGACCCCCCTCCCTGGTGCGCGGAGCGCGCCAGGGGCGGCGCTGGAGGCGCCGCCGGGGGGCCCAGCGCCGATCCGAGAAATCCGCGCGGACCTCCGAGCTTTTATGTTTATGTCACTTCTCGTTCCCCTAGAATCTAGAAAAGGTTCGAGTATAGTCGGGACCTCGCAAATGGGGGCGTGCCACCAAGGGGGGGGTGGGAGTTCGGTCCGCTGGCGCATCAAACCGCAGAACAAGGATGCAAAACGAGGTCTCCGGCGGCCGCCGGAACCCGAGAGGTGTCGACAATCAGGGCGCGCGGGGGGCATCGTTTTCCGGAAATTCCATGCACCAGCAGATCGAACTTTCAGGGTCCCCCCCCCCTTTGGTGGTCCCCGATATAGCTCGGAGGTTGATAGACCTACTACCCTGACACGTCGATTAGCGAATTGGCTGATTTCGGTTCGCGAGAGTGCGTGGCGGCCGTCAGTTTTGCGGGTCCAGGTCCGTCGGTTGCGGTCCTAGGCCGTTTGCTCTAAAGGGTGGTTTACTAAAGGGAGGTTTGTTCACCGCCGAATAGGCAGGACCCCAGTTAAGGTGACCCGGTTATTAGTAGAGCCCTGGAGCTTTTAAATTGAACGGAATCACTAAACCAGGTCTGCCGTAGTTGGTGTTTTTCGGGTGACGGCAGTTCCAGTCAGTGGAACGGGGCCGTGGCGGCGTTCCCCAGTGCACATTATTAAACCAGGTCCCACCAAGCCCAGTTCTGGTAACGCCCGAAAGGTACCAATGCGGTGGAGGCGTTTCGTAAGGAATAGTCCCAGGAGGCGCCAGACCCTGGAGGATTCCTTATGCAATGAGGGCGGCGGTGATATCCACTGCCGTTCCACGATAAGGAGTTCCACTGGCTTCCAGACCCTGGATTGCCTATCTGATGACCGAAACGGGCACGGAAATAATGACTGCCGGAGGAGGGAGTCCGTAGTTTGGCATCGCTTGGTATCGCTTGGAAGCGAGGGTGGTCAAAAGCGAGGTAGGTTTGTTTGCCCCCTACAAATAGGGGAACGAACAATGACACAAACATGCGTAACAATTCCGAGGTCCGCGCGGACTTCTAGGGTCGGCGCTGGACCCTCTCCCTGGCGCGCGGAGCGTGCCAGGGGCGGCGCCGGAGGCGCCGCCAGGGGGCCCCAGCGCCGATCCGAGGAATCCGCGCGGACCTCCGAGTGATGATGTTGATGTCATAGTTCGTTCCCCCAGGAAAAAAAATGGTATTGGCACCGCTACCCTTGCTTCGGTGTGCCCTTTTTAGGCCTCCTGGGAGGCCCTCGTGGCCACCGCGGGATTCGCCTCGAGATTCTGGTCAGGACGCAGCCCAGAGGAAGTCTGGGGAGTAGCGTTATCGGTACTTTTGGTTTCCCCAACGACTGGGTGCGAAGTCTAAGAGCAGTTCCTGTTGATTTCGATCGGGGCTCGTGGTCGGCGTCTTCCGCGGACGCTGTCCTCTGGGGCCAACGGGCGGCTGCCCAACAGCGGCCGCTGTCGGCTTTGGACAACATGTGCCGATGGGCCGCACGTGAGAGTGGCCCTTCGCCGGAGTGGCCTCCGATGCGTGCGCACTTGGGGCCCCTCCATCGCCGAACGCTTTTTGTGATGGTGCAGCGTCTTGCGCGCCTGGGTCTGCCGCCCTCCGCCCCCCCGGAGGCCGCGCACCAGAGGACACCTCCTCCTCCTCCTCCTCCTCCTCCTCCGCCTCCTCCTCCTCCTCCTCCTCCGCCTCCTCCTCCTCCTCCTCCTCCTCCTCCTCCTCCTACTCCCCGGGTTCACTCTCGCGCGCAGTCGACGGAGGAGGGCCGAGGCGCTCGCCGAGGCTCCCGCCGACGTCATCGTCGTCTCGCGGCTCGTCGCGGCCCGTCGCCAGTCGTCGTCGCTCGTCGACGTCCCGGTCGCCGCCGGTCAAGAACATTTCGACGTCCACGAGAGACGACGGCCAGCGTGTTAGTTGGCATCGTCGTCGTCGTCGTTGTCCTCGTCAAGCGAATTGGCTGTTTTCGGTTCGCGAGAGGGCGTCGCGGCCGTCATTTTTGCGGGTCCGGGTCCGTCGGTGTTGGTCCTGGGTCGTCTTTTCACTAGAGGATGGTTTACTAAATGGAGGTTTGTCCATCGCCGACTGAAGCGTCGCGGAACATCGCGGGAGGCTGGCCCTTGATTTGTAAGGGTCTGGGCCCCATGTGATGCCCGTTGCGGATCTGCCCAAGACGCCGACTCGCATGGAACCGTTCACGGCGAACACGGTGGCCGACCCCAAGCCCGCTCGCAAGATGGGTCTCGAGGTTCCTCTCGTGACGTGCAGCTCGCACCACCATGCCGACTCAGCTTGCCAGCCGTGAGCCACAGTTTCACGCACACGGACCTCCTGCGTAGGTCGACCCGGGTGAGCGCGGACAGCCAGCGTAGACTGCACCTTCATTGCACCTGTCGCACGCGTTCTTGTCTTCGTCTCCGCCCGATCCGAACGAGCAGGATTCCACCGACGATCACGCTGGGCGCCTCCGTGCAGCGCGGGGTGCCAGAGATGCGACGTCACCGGGCGGCGCAGGAAACGCATCAAACGAATGGTGAGGAGCAGCCAGCCCCTCTCCCCGGAGAGTGGTCCGCCCGTCCTCCATCCGAAATGCGGCGACAGGCCAGGGCCGGCGCATCAGGGTTATGATGTTCCAACCTATTTTAGCTTTGATCGCCAGAAAGAATTTCGAGCTCCAGAAAGTAACGAAACTCTAAGGTTTTCACGTGTCGGGCCCTGGGGGTCACTCGTCCGACACTGTTTTGACACTGTTTCGATACTCTTTCGACACTTTTCCGGGTGCTCGAAATTATGTCTGGGATGTGGTCTTGAAGCAGGATGGGAGCAACATAACATTAGGGCTGAGCGCAAAGTCGTTGCGAGTACGGTCGGGCCGAGGTATAAGATCGAGGTCTGTTCGGGGAGGGTGCCCCTCATATTCCTCGTGCTTGCTGCTTCTGGAACCCTCGATGAGCTTCTGATTTGAGGTCGTTTGGCCGGCGGAGGGTCTCATGCTCCTAAAGGATGCCCAGGTCCGGCTGTAGCAGGGGGCTACCTCATCGGCTGCAACTTCGGAGGAGGGGCCCGCCCTGTCGGTGATGGCCTCCCCCGCCTCGCGTGGAGCCTCCCAGCCGCGTCCGCAAGGCCCCGCCTCCACGGGGAGCCGTTGCGTCGTACTCATCTGGCACGTCTTCGCAGGGCGGGCGTGGCCGGGCACACTCCGGCCGTGCAGGTGCCGGATGTGCGCTGGCTCCGCCGGATCATGTCTGTGCGGTCTGTGGCTGCGCCGCCAACGGCGATGAGAGTCACCACCTACCAAACCACCCCAACCCAACCCGAAGGCCTCAATTTGCCCTCCATTTCCAGTGGGGGGGGGGTCGGGGAACATCGAAAAAACACGTATGGAACCCATACCCCCCCCAGCCCGAAATTTGGGTCTTCAGGTTGGGTTGGGGTGGTCTGGTAGGTAGTCAGATGAGAGTGAGAAGGCGCCTCCATCAGGCCGCGGCTGCTACCAGCACTCCCTCGGCAGCTCGCTCGGCCCGGCTTGGTGCCAGTCCGCTCCGGCTGCGCGGTTTGGGTGCCCAGACGGCGCGACCGCGCGACCGCCCCTGACCAGCCGGCAGTGCCCACGACACTGCTGAGGGATGTGGGCGCGGACGCTGGCCAACGCGCAAGATGGCGCGATAGGCGGAACAGCCCTCTCGGAGGATCGGGCGGCCACTCAGCCGCGGCCTCCTCCGGCACCATGGTCAAGGGGCCCCGACCCCGACAGTCGGCGTTTTACGTCCCTGGGCGTTTACGAGGCAGCTCTGCCCTGCTCGATTCCGTCTTCTGGGTGCGTTTGCTGGACGGCTCCGCTGGGTGCGGTGCTGATGGTGGGGGCGGATTCCCTGCCCTCTTAGAAGAGGCCCACGCACCAGGACCGGGTCTGGCCAATCATTGACTTGGCCCGGCCTGCGCATGCATGGATGATCTCCGCTCTGCGCGCGTCCCTCCGCCCCCACCAAACGTCGGGGGGCCAGCGGGCCAAGAGCAGCATCCCGCGGTCCCCGAGGACCTCCGATGCCCGTGGGAGCTGTTCTGGCTCCCCCCCTGGTAGAGACCATGCACCTGCCCCGTGATCTCCGCCATCTCTCCCCTTCGATCTCCCCCCCGCTCCTCCTCAGCCTCGTCCTCCGCCTCCCCCTTCCCGAGCACGCCAGAACCTCGGGGAGCCCACGAACAACGTCCAGCAGGCACTCAGCATCCGATGCAACCTCCTCCTCCTGCCCCCCATCTCCCCATTTCTCTTCCAGCTTATCATTCTTCATGCTGCTTCTCCTCCTCGTCCTCCTGATTCTCCGCCTCCTCCCCCTCCTCCCCCTCCTCCTCCTCCCTTGTGTCTGTCTGTGGGGCAGCGATCGTGCCTCTTGAGCTAGCAGCAATTTCGGGGCGCACGGCCGCCCCTCACACTCGGCGCCCAAACTCGCACTGCATACTCGCACTTCGCACTCGCACCCCGCACTCGCCCCCGCAATCGCCCCCCGCACTGCGCGCCCACACTCGCACGTCATACTCGCACCCCGCACTCGCGCCCACACTCACCCCCCACGCTTTGCGCCGACACGACACGAACGCGAGACGCGGGTCAACTCGGCGCACTAAGTCGGGGACGCCCACCCCACGGTCAATTCGCACTTCGCAATCGAGGAATCAGCTCGGACAACCAACTCGCGAAATCCATTCGGCACCTCCAATCGCAAAACCAAGGCGGCAAATCAACTTGGCACATCAACTCGGCAACTCAACTCGGCAGGCCGCCCCGCGAAGTCAACTCTCTGAATCAACTCCCTAAACCAACTCTATAAATCAACTCGGGAAACCGACTCGGCAAACCAACTCGGGGAACCAACCTGGGAAATCAACTCGGGAAATCAACTCGGGGAACCAACTCGCACTTCGCAGTTTGAATGGTAAGCCAAAGCCCAAGAAATCAACGCCAATTCAACTCGCCATCTCAGCGTTCCGTGCAAGCCAACACCACGCATCAATTCGGGAAGTCAACTCGGCAAATCAACTCCGTAAATCAACTCTGTAAATCAATTGTGTAAACCAACTCAGCAAATCAACTCAATCACTCAATTCGGCAAATATGTAAACCAACTCGGGAAACTAACTCGGCAAACCAACTCGGGAAATCAAGCCGGCAAATCCACTCTGTAAATCAATTCGGTAAGTCATCTTTGTAAATCAATTCGGGGAATAAGCTCTTCTAACCAAGTCGGTAAATCCATTCGGGGTTTGGTGTGGGGTGTGAGTGTGGGGGTGCGAGTGTGTGCGTAGACTGCGGGCGTAGAGTGTGGTGTGTGTGTGTGTGTGTGGTGCAGGTGTGGGCGTAGGGTGTGGGGTGTGAGTGTGGGGTTCGAGTGTGGGCGTGCAATGTGGGGTGCGAGAGTGTGCGTAGACTGTGGGCGTAGAGTGTGGGCGCCATAGTGAGAAGCGAGTCTGGAGTGCGAGTGTCGGCATGGAGTGTGGGCGCGAGTGTGTTCGGCGAGTGTGGGCATCGAGTGTGGTGCGTTTCTGGCCTCGAGCTAGGGCTGGCCCCTCAGACATACACAACTCCTCCTCCTCCTCATCATCCTCCTCCTCCTCCTCCCCCTCCTCCTCCTCCTCCTCCTCCTCCTCCTCCTCCCCCTCCTCCTCGTCCTCCTCCTCCTCCTCCTCCTCCTCAGGGTTCTCCCCTCGCCTCTGTATTCGTCCTCGCTTCGCTTCCTTCGTGCAAGGTGTCCCTCCCGCTCCTCCCCATCGTGCCTCCCTCCCTCTTCTCTCCTCGGCCGTGCCGTCGCCAGGACACGGCGGGCAGGGCCGAGGACGGCGCCGCGGCGAGCATGTTCGCCTGGGACCAGGCCGCGCGCCGTGCCCCTTGCCAAGGGAGCCGCAGGACCAGGGGTCGGGTGCTGCTAGAAGTAGCCCTGGCCCAAGGTGCCCCCAGGATTCTCGGGGAGGCCCAGACGTCCTCCAGGGCACCCCTCACGAGGCCCAGAGGGCCCCAGGTGCCCCCAACTTTTCACTCCATTTTGGAGCCCCTGGGGCCCTCTGGGCCTCGTGAGGGGTGCCCTGGAGGCCGTCTGGGCCACCCCGAGAACCCTGGGGGTACCTTGGGCCAGGGCTACTTCTAGCAACACCCGAAGGGGGGGGGCGAGCGAGGAACCGGGTGAGGCTAGGACTTCAGCGCCGCAGATTGCGTCCTGACAATCCTGTGTAAATCGTGCCTGGGACTCAACGCAGCGAGGCAACGGGACTGTGGCGTCCTGACAATCCCAGACCGCAGCAGAACACCCGTCCTTACACTTCAGCACGCATGTGCGCTGCGCTCAGGCCTGAGCCAGATTTTGAAAAATTGCAAATTCACAGTTCCATTGTCAGAATGGCGAGGGACTCTCCTGCGACATGCCCCGTCTGGCCAACCGACACGTTTGGGTGTGCGACGGGGAGGAGTTATTCCTGAGAAAAAAGGACGTAGTGGGGACGAGGAGGATGAGGAGGGTGAGGAGGAAGACGAGGAGGAGGACGAGTAGGATGAAGAGGATGAGGAGGAGGAGAGGGAGGAGGAGGAAGATGAGGAGGAGGAGATGAAGGAGGAAGATCAGGAGGATCAGGAGGAGGAGGAGGAGGAGGAGGAGGAGGAGGAGGAGGAGTGGGGAGGAGGAGGAGAAGGTTAAGGAGGAGCAGGAGGAGGAGGAGGGAGCGAATAGGTGAGGAGGAGGAGGAGGAGGAGGACGAGGAGGAGGAGGAGGAGGAGGAGAAGGAGAAGGAGAAGGACGAGGAGTGGAAAGAGACCAGGAAGGGAGGAGGAGGAGGCGGAGGAGGAGGAGGACCAGTGTAAACCAAGAGTCATCAATGATGTTTGAGGAGACCCTCCCTCCAAGCTCCCTCTTCATATGCCCCTACAACGGTTCATTTCCATTGATGGAACTGCCTCGTTGGAAGGCACCCGTTTGAAGACCTTGGAGCATGCCAAAACATTGTTATTGGGATTCCAACGCCACGGATCAACCTGACTGCTGCGTCTTGACGATCCGGAATTGCGCCAGAACGCAATTCCTAGGTTTCCAATATAGAGAACCAACGTAGTTGTTGCACCCGCATAATCCGGAGTCCTTCCCAAATGCCATTGTTGTTATGTTGATGGTGGAAACATGTGAAATTCTTTCATGTTTTAAAATGTGGGCCGCGCTAAGGCGAGAGCCACACTTCAAAAAGGAACCGCCCTCGATCCGTGAAGCTCTTGTGAATGTTTCAGAAGAAGGTGCGCGGCGCTAAGGCGAGAGCCACATTTTGAAAACCACGCGCCCTCGATCCGTGAAACTCTTGCAGTCTGATGAAACAAATGCGCGCCGCGCCCAGGCGAGAGCCACATTTTGAAAGCGGCCCGCCCTCAATCCGCGAAGCTCTTGCAATGTCCTAAAAAGAATGTGCGCGGCGCTAAGGCGAGAGCCACATGTTGAAAAGGAACCGCCTTTACTTCGTGAAACTCTCGCAATGCTTGTAAACGAATGAGCGCTGCGTTAAGGCGAGAGCCACATTTTGAAAAGGGCCCGCCCTCCATCGGTGAAAGAATATGTTGCCAAAATTTCAGCTTCAGAGTCATATATGGTGAGGAAGTCTTAGGCGGAACGCCTGGCCCGCCCTAAAACTGGCTTCGGGGTGCGACAGGGAGATATTAATCATAAGGAGAAGGAATGGAGAAGAAGGAGCAAGAGGAGTGGTGAGGAGAATTGATGGGGGAGAATGAGAGGAGGGGGAGTGGATGAGGAGGGAGAGGAGGGTGGAGGGACGTGATGAATGAGGAGGCCGTCCTCGATGGGCGCTTAGAGAGCTTGGGGGAAGTGTGGGGGTGTTAGGGTCCAGAGGCGGGCCAGAGAAAGGGCAGAAGAGGCAGAGGAGGAGGAGGAGGAGAAGAAGCAGGAGGAGGAGGAGGAGGATAGTCTGGAGGCCGGGGGGGAGAATGGAGCGGGGGATGGAGAGGAGGCGTAGGAGGGGCAGAATGAGAAGCTCCTCCTCCTCCTCCTCCTCCTCCTCCTCCTCCTCCTCCTCCTCCTCTTTCATCGCCTTTTCTCCCGTTCTTCGTTCTTCCTGGCCTTCCCACCTCCTCCTGCCTCTTCATGCCGCCCCCTGCTCCTGCCTCCTCCTGCTCATGCGCCGAGGCTGGAGGAGCCCTCCCCTCGTCTTCCCTGCCCTCCTGATTCCTCCTCCTCCTCCTCCTCCTTCTCCTCCTCCTCCTCCTCCTCCCTCCCCCTTCCTCCTCCTCCTCCTGCTCCCCCTTCCTCCTCCTGCTCCCCCTTCCCCCTCCTCCCTCCTCGCCCTCCCCTCTCCGTCCTCCTGCCGCCTGCCTCCTTTCCCTCCTCCTCACCTGCCCTGCAGGCCACCATCGAGGGCGTGCAGGCGATCAGCATCCCTGGCACGGGCCTGCCCACGCCGGAGTGCCCGCCCTGTGCGGGCAACGTGGGCCGGTCAGGGGCAACGTTGGAGGGGGCAGGGGCGGGGGAAACGTACAGTCGGGGCCCTGAAGAAGGAACCCTTTTCGTTGGGGAGGGGCTCCGTGTTCCTTGATTGCTTCACAGTTTGCCTTGGGTTTTCCTTTGGTTTGCGATGGGAAATCGAAGTTCAACTTGTGGATGAAAGGGGCCTCGTTCCTTATTTCGGGTCCCTTGGGTCAACGCTCCGACTGTAAGACTTCACTACGCTGGAACTCGGGTTTGCCGACGCCTTTCGACGAGCGCGTCCTGGGGTGGGCTGTCCAGTTCTCGTGGGATGCTTGCCGCGGGAGCTCGCGTCAGATTTCAGATTGGGGCTCTCGTCGTTTTCAGGATGGTCCCGTCAGGCTTAACCGAGTCACCCGAACCTCAGTCTCGCGTCTCTCCGAGGGGATACGGTCGGGAACTTTTGGTTAGCGTGTCGGGAACTTTAATATGTGTAAGAATTTCACGGATTGAGGGCGGGTGGTTTTCATGATGTGTTTCTCGCCTTAGCGCCGCGCACATTCCTTTAAAAGAATCGCAAGAGGTTCACGGATGAAGGGCGGTTCGTTCTCACATGCGGTTCTCGCTTTAGTGCCGCGCGCACTCGTTGTTAACATTTGCAATGGTTTTGCGAATTTAGGGCGGTTCTTGTTCAACATGTGGTTATCGCGATAGCGCCGCGCACATCCGCTGATTGCAAACACTTTCACGGATTCCCATGATCAACGTACCAGAAATGGCTTTGTTTAGGGATTCAATATTATGCGTGTGTAGCAGTTATGTTGCTTCGTGGGTTGTTGGAATCCCATAAATGTTGTGTGTACAAAGTCACAGCCTTAAATTCGTCATCAACCTCGCTCTTTTCTTGGTATGATCAGACGGAGAACTCCCTTTCTCTCCGCTTCTGCTCCTCGCTGCGCCGCTCGCGCTCCCCTCCAGCTCTTATCCTTCGCCCCCCTTCTCTATCCTTAGCCGTTCCCTGCTCCAATTGTCCGTCGTTCGCTTGGCCGCGGAGGTGGCCCTCGAAGCTTTGGTATCGGACCTCCCCACCTCTCTTCTTCGCCCCCCCCCCTGCGCGACTGTCCAGACCGTTGCGCTTCCCGCGAACAATTCGCGAGAGTCCGGGCCCCCAGCGAAGAATTCGCGAGAGTCCCGCGAAAGATTCGCATGAATCTATCGCGCCGTGCACTGTCGTCTGAGGCGCCCCCCGGGCTATCTCGCCCCCGTGAACCCCCCTGGGCAATTCGCGAGGGCTGCTCCCGCGCGAGACCTCGCCGGGCGACTCGTGCGGGAACTGAGAGGCGGATTCCCCCCCCGGCGACACCCCCCCGGGCGAGTCGGCCCGTCCTGGAACCCCCACGGGCGATCCAGGACCCCCCGCGCCCTCCCAGGCGAGCGGGGGCGCCTACGGGAAAAGCCCCCGCCTGAGCTCTCCCTTTTGAGGGAACTTTGGCGGCGGCGATCCGCGCCGGGGCGGCAGTCGAACCCCCCCGGGCGATCGACCGCGGCAGATCTTTCCCACGTAAAAAACACAAACAATACAAACAGAGCGCAAAACAACACAACACAACACAACACACAAAACAACACAAACAAACGGACGGAACATCAATATGAACAACACTTATAAAACAAAACAAACACAAAAACCACACACGCACGCAAACATGACTAAATTATGGTTCTGGCTTTGCACACCTAAAGAATGGCGTTCCTGCGCGACTCCGGACCGCCAAGACGCAGCCGACAAATTGATCCGTGTCTGCGAAATCCCGGGAACAACAATTTGGCATGCTTTCGGATCTTCGAGCGGTCGTTCCAACGAGGAAGTGCCCTCAAGGGCAATGAACCGCTGTAGGGGCCTGTGAAGCGGGAGCGTGGAGAGAGGGATAATTCCAACATCGTTGAAGAGTCTTGGGTTTACACTGGTCTTCCTCCTCCTCATCATCCCCTTCCTCTTCCTCCCCCTCCTCCTCCTCCTCCTCCTCCTCGTCCTCGTCCCCCACCCCCTCCTCCCCCCCCTCCTCCTCCTTCTCCTCCTCCTCCTCCTCCCCTCCTCCTCCTCCTCCTCCTCCTCCCTCCCCCCTCCTCCTCCTCCTCCTCCTCCTCCTCCTCCTCCTCCTCCTCCTCCTCCTCCTCCCCCTCCTCCTCCTCCTCCTCCTCCTCCTCCTCCTCCTCCTCCAACTGCGGGTGCCGGGGGCGGACGACTCGGCGACCCGCGCGGCGACGGCGTCGTCGACGACGGCCACCACGGCGGCGGCGAAGGCTACGGCCGCCGCCGCGGACTGGCCACGGCCAGCGCGACAGGTACGCGTACGGGGACTGCGTGCAGGGCTACGCGGCGCTGGGGCCAGACGGGCCCATCCTGCAGGCGCGGGACAGCGCGGCGCGGCCGCGCGCCTCGGCGGCCGTTTGCGGGAGGGCTTCGCGGGAGGGCCCTAGACATGATCGCGTCGTAAGAAACATCATGGGGTGGTTTCTGTATTTTCGGCCCCTGGGGGCCCTTACTGGGCCTCGGGACCATCAGAAAACGACTCAGGATGAAACGCCGGCCCCGGGGAAAGGGTCTGGACTTCCGGGAACGCCGTCCTGAAAAAATCAGGACGTCGCATGTCTGGGGCGGAGGCAGCGCCCCCGGAGGCGGTCCCCCATGGGAGGCGAGGCCGCGGGGAGGAGGCCCTACACCGAAGAAGGAGAAAGGGGTATAAGCATAAGCTCTTGGCGCTCCGCACGGATGTTTTAGATCCGCGCTGGGCCCCCCCCTGGCGGCGCCTCCGACGCCGCCTCGGCGCGCCCCGCGCGCCAGGGAGGAAGGCCCTACGCGGATCCGAGAACCGCGCGCGGAGCGCCAACAGTTTATGTTTATGCAGTTGTTCCTTCTTCTGTTGCAGGAAGGCCATGGGAGGAGGCCCAGGGATGCCTTGGAGAGGGGGGTGGGGAGCGGGTTGGAGGAGGGGGGGAGGGGGCGGGTGAGAGCGGGCGGCAGAGGCGGGGGGGCGTGAGGGAGAGGCGTCGAGCTGGCCAGGTCGATGGAGCCGGGGGGCCCCGCCTTTCTACGATGAAGTCGGGCCTGTCCTTTTGCAGGAGGAATATTGAAAGATTGTCAGGGTGAGGGGGCCGAGCGGTCATTCATTGTCCCTTGGTGCGTGGCTGAAGTGGGGATCTGTGGTGGGGATTATGTTTGCTGTTGTTGTTGCTGCTGTTGTTGTCGTCGTCGTCGTCGTCGTCGTCGTCCCCCCCGCGATCCGCCCGCGACCCACCCCGCGACCCAACCCGCGACCCACCCGCGACCCACCCGCGCCACCCCGCGATCCACCCGCGAGACCCCGCGACCCCCGCGATCCACCCCCCCACCCGCGACCCACCCCACCCGCGACCCCCCCCGACCCACCCCGCGACCCACACGCGACCCACCCCGCGACCCCCCCCCCGCGACCACCCCGCGACCCACCCTGCGACCCACCCGCGACCCACACCGCGACCCGCGACCCATACCCGCGACCCGGCCCGCGACCCACCCGCGACCCACCCGCCACCCACCCGCGACCCATCCCGCGATCCATCCATATTGTTCAACGAAGAAATCGGCGCCTGCGCCTGGCTAACTGCATAATTTGTAAAAAGTTCGGCGCCTGCGGCGGGCTAAAGTTCGGCGCCTGCGGCGGGCTTCTTCAGTACCTCGCAGACTGACGACGTCTTCGCCGCCCCCTCACTCTTATTTGCAACCGCGGGGTGCTACGTAACAAAAATCGTCAGGGGACGATAAGTTGACTATGTTTGACCTTCTTGGGGGTATTTCGGAATATTCTTTGTTTTGTCAAATATCCGCCTGTAGGGGGACACGCCCGACCGAATTTCACGCCCACCTTGCCTCCCACCCAGCACATACGCATCGACTGTGGCACAACAGGATATTGGGCTTGCATCGCGCTCCTATCTAGCCAGCGGAAGGCGCTTGCGCGCGGCTCCGCTTCCGACGACTGGGCGAAGGGGGCATCGCGCTTGCCGCGCAGGGGCGGGAGGGGCGGGGCGGGAGTGACACAGCACCTGCCATGCGCAGCCACAAGCTGCGCGGCGCCCGAGCGAGGGCGGCATCTTGTCCGCCCCCGCGCGACCCCACTGCCGCACGGGAGGAATGCAGGAACAAGGGGGAGGATGAGGGAGGAGGGAGGGGGTGAGGAGGAAGGGGTGTGATGAGGACAGGAAGGAAGGTGGAGGTGGGGGGGGGGAGACTTGACGGCAGAGGAGAAACAAGGAGGCGGTAGGAGGAGGAGGGAAGGAGTGTGAGGAAGAACAGAGCGGGAAGTAGGCTTGGGAGTGCGAGTGCGCAGACGGCGGATCAGGTGCTGTTGACGAGGACTTCTAGGAGAGAACGAAGCCGGAATCGAGAGGTAAGGGCAACATAAGGAAGAGGAATGCAATGGAGGGGGATATGCTTGCCGTGAGACTGATAGAACGACTCCGTGAACATGTTCGCATCTGCTGGGCGTGACCAACCAACACCGTTTGACGCACAATGAGCCAGCATTCGGGGTGCAGCAAGGTAATCCAGAAGCCGCATTAAAGTGATCATTGAGGCCCTCTGTGACAGAGGGGGTGTTTTTCGGAGGCCCTCTGTGACAGAGGGGGTGCGTTCGGAGGCTCTCTGTGACAGAGGGGGTGCGTTCGGAGGCTCTCTGCGACAGAGTTGCTCGTCATCCCGTTCCTCGTCATCCTGCTTTTTGATTTCGGATATGTCATGCTACCACTGCGCTCATCATCTTTGCGTCTGTGATCCTCGTCGTGTTTTTCCATGCGTCCTTTTCACAATTTCCACCACATTATCCTCCGTTGCCGTTCTGGCCCGCCATCTACCTCGTCACTCTCCTTCGTCTGCATGTCCTTATTCTTTTCCGCTCTTTTTTCGCCTCCCCTCTGGTTCGATTTCCGCTCTTCGTCCACTTCGTTCATTCGTTTCCAACCCCCCTTCCTTTCAAGTTCTCCGCCGTCCAATCACGTCGCGTCGTCCGCCGCCGCTATGCTCAAACCACCCCGCGCCCGTGGGATCGCCCGCGAGCACCGGTGCAGCTGGGCCCGTCGCGGCCTAACGCGCGCCTGCGCCATCGTCTTGCAATGGGCGATGCAGGCGGATACACATGGGATGGCGCGGGAGGATGGTGGGATAGCCGCAGCAGCGGCTGGCGTGGCTGGGAGGACGGCCATGATTGGTCAGCGAGGGGTTGGAGAGACTGGCGACAAGACGGGCACACGCCAACGGAGGACGCCAAATGGCGCGATGGCCCTGCCGCCGCAGCAGCGGCGGCGGTCTCGCCTCAACGGCCGTCTCGCTTCGCCGCGCTTAGCGTTGTGAGCCCCCGCGCCCCTGGTCTCGGCAAGCCCGAATTCGATAATTTCGTGAGGGCTGCCCTCCGAAACGTACCAGAACTTGGGAACACAGTTTCAGGAGAGGGGTCGGGATCCCGAGCCGCGCCTGCGGCGCAGGAGCCCCGCGCCACCGCAGCGGCGGCGGCGCGCGGGCCCCGGGATTTTGAGAAGTTTGATGTTAATTATTTTTTGAGTTATGAAGAGAGGCTCGGCACTTCGTTTCAGCAACACAATCAAGCGTTGAAATGGTGGCGCCATCTGAATGAAGACCCAACTGCCCCGTTCGAGTCAGAAGCCAAGTGGTTTGACAATGCGAAGCCCACCATGGTCGCTGTTTGCGACCACGGTGCGAGGACGAGCTTTGGTTTCAAAAGCGACGAGGAAGTCCCTTGGCGGTGGCAAGAGATGGTGGCGACGCTCAGGGAGGAAGATATCAGGGAGGTCGTGGAGGGGCCCCGCAGCAGCGGGGCTCTGATCGGCTGCTCCCTCGAAGTCCGGCCAAACAGCTACGACCACATGCGTCAGAGTATTGTGCGCGCGCGACAGTTCGCGGGGCAGCGGGTGAAAGTGAAGCTGCCGATGTGGGATTTCGCGTTGCACCGCGACGACGGGACAGGCGTCCGTTTACACCCGCACTGGGGCGACAGGAAGGTCGAAGCTCTGCCCCTCGTCCCCCACGCGGACACGGTGAGGCCACCAACCGCGGGTTTGGGCGGGAGCGACGGGTCAGGAACTTTTCGCTGGTACAAGGACCTCGGTGTGGAGCGTAAGGTCAAGTTCGACGCCGCCAGAGAGAAGGGGAGGCCGACGCCCTCTCAGGGGCCCCGCAGCAGCGGGGCCGCGGCGTCCAGCGCCAGGCCCTCGGCGTCCGCAGCAGCGGGTGGCAAACAGTAGTTTTGGGACCGAATAACTCCCCAGACGATTTGGTTTCGGAGTAGATGGCTCCGCAGCAGCAGCGGGGCTCGAATGAAGGGCGCGTTGCATTTCTGCAGGGGCGCGCGCGTCGGCCGCCGAGATCGGGGGCGCTCGTGCAGGCGCCGTGGCGCGATCTTCGTAAAGAAGTATTCCCTCTCCTCGCTGTCCCCCCATCCCGCCGCCCTCAACGTCGGCTCCTCGCCGCCCGTTCCTCGTCGCTCCACGCCTGTTCGTTCTCCTCCAATTTCCTCTCCCGCTTCCTCGTTCTCTCCTTCCCATTTTTCCCTCCATCCCATTGCATCCCTGGCACCCCAGCGAAGTTCGCAGTTCGAAGTTTGAAGTTCGGAGTTCGAAGGTTGCAGTTTGAATTTCGAAGCTTCGCACTTCGAGGTTCGATCTTCGAACCTTCGTCATCTCGTCGTCGTAATCGTCGTCCTCGTTCGTCGTCGTCGTTCCTCGTCGGCGTCGATTGTCGTTGTCGTCGTCGCTCGTTGTCGTCGTCGCCGTCGTCGTCGTGGTCGGCGTCGTCGTCGTCGGTCGTTGTCGTCGCTAGTCGTCGTCGCTGGTCGCCGTCGTGGTCATCGTCCTCGTCGTCGTCGTCGTGGTCGTCGTCGCCCTCGTTGTCGCCGTCGTGGTCATCGTCGTCGTTGTCGTGAAACGCCCCACGTAGGAGGAGCAGAGAAGGGAGTAAGGAGAAATGAGCACGGTGGAGGGAGGAGGGAGGATTGAACAGGAAGAGGAGGGTGCAGATGGAGGTAGAAGGGATGAGGTAGTTCAGAAGTGGGAGCAGCAGACTGGCGCAATGGGAAAAGCCATGTGAGTGCAGGGAGGGATGGAAATGCGATAAAGTGAAGCCGCAGCCGTTGCAGGTCTGCCTCCCGCCGCGCCCGCCCGCCTCCGCGACTGGAGCCGCGCAGGAGCCTCTGCCGAAGTCTCCGCAGCAGCGGGGACTGCCAGAGGAGGCTCCTTCGCGGTTTTTGCGCCGCTATGGCGAGCATCGCGGGCAAGTACGACGTCGATGACTTCGAGCTCATCACGACGGAGGGCAGTGTTTGGCACTGGGCGACCATGGTGGTGCGGTTTCTCCAGTGG